CTACTGCAAACAAGAATTGTGAGAGTTATGGTAGAGGTATCACAGCGACAATCATGTAAAGTATACTTTACTGAATTAGGAATTCTGACTTTACTGTCATTGTATGTTTATGAGTGTTGCACATATGTACATAAAAATCAGGATAAATTCATAAAAAATTACCAAACTCGTGACAATAATACAAGACAACAAAATCTGTTTCATGTTCCATTCAAGAAAAAAAACATTTATAAAAATTGTTTCTTTGTATCAGGTTTAGAAATGTATAAGGGTATATGGAAAATCCAAACTATCAAACTTGAAACCTCTAACTGTAGGCATCCCACAAGGCTCTATCCTGGGACCTATTCTCTTCCTTGTTTTTATAAACGATTTACCACCAAATATCCGTGCCCTGAGTACCATATTATTTGCTGACGGCACGACCATCATTAGCCAGAATAAAAGCCTAACAAAACTAAGAGAATTAGAGGAAGGCACCATGAATTGCTGCGAAATGTGGTTGAAAGCCAATAAACTTACTCTAAATAAAAATAAAACTCAATCTTTACTGTTTTCTCTAAAAGAAGAACAGGCAACTTATAATAAAGTTAAATACTTGGGCATTACACTGGATCATAAGTTAAATTGGGGGGAACAAATTGATAGTTTGGCGTCAAAACTGAATTCTGCTCTTTATCAATTAAGAAAATTGGTCAACTATTGTACTCTTGAAGGTTCCATAACATTTTATTTTTCAAATTTCAATAGTTTAATTAACTATGGAGTGATATTATGGGGAAACTCAACTTACGCCATTAGAATCTTCCGTATACAAAAGAAAGCTATTCGAATACTAGCCAACATTTCAGACCAACGTGTACACTGTAAACCCTTATTTAAAAAATTTGGGATATTACCTTTACCATGTTTGTACATATATAGCGTATTAATTTATAGATACGAAAATTCAACCATTTTTCAGAAAAACTCCGATTTTCACGATTATAACACCCGAAATCGGGATAAATTTATCACTTCCCATTATCGCCTACGGAAAAGTCAAAAGTGCTTGAAGTTTGACGCGATTAAGCTCCTTAACGTGTTACCGCCACACTTCAAAACCTTAAATACAAAAAACTTCAAAAGGGAAATAAAAAAGCTTTTAAAAACCGAATGCTTTTATAGCACCGAAGAGTTTATTACCTCATTCAATGTATTATTGTAATAGTCCACTATTCTCGTATTCACATTTATTTGTTTGTTATTTGTAACATGTGTTTATTATTGTATATTGTCATTTTTAAGCTTCTTGTCTGTTTTATTATACAATTTATCATGTATTCTCCGACGATCCTGAACAAGATGTACATTGTAAGAGTAATAAAGTATTAATATTATTATTATTATTATTATAATAGGTTACCTAAGGAAATTACAGCTCCTAAAAATTTGCGGCTCTTTAAAAATAAGCTAAAATATTATTTAGTTAATAAGTGTTTATTTACAGTGAATGAATTCTTGGTTTGATTTATGTCTTTCTAAACGTATTCTCTTTTGTTTTGTTTTTTACAATGACGATTTCCATACAAATACACTTGCCTCTGGAAATAAAATTATTAAAGAAAAAAGTTATTTTATCTGTAGACCAGCGACTTCCCTGTTTTCTTTGCAGGAACAAGGGTTGTCGAAACTTCGTCACACATCGTTGCAAAATGGACACAATTATTTCCAATTTCTGTACTTTGGAGTTTTTAGCAACAATCTAATTCTCCAAAATTCTATCTTTATCTATTTAAAAATGATCTCGGTCAACTTCCACTACAGAAGAAATGTTGTTTGGAATTAACAAAAATAAATCTTGCAACAAATTTCAGAAGTCGTCGTTGTATCAAAGCGATGCTTAGTTCTAACGTAAAGTATAATTAAATTCAGTTTTTAACCCTAAATTACAAAAAATTGATAGGTAAATAAGAAAAACCACGTTTCTGATGCATTATTTCACTCATTAATTGTGGCATCAATTTCTGGAAAGAACGTTGTTTTTTGCTAAACTTGGAAAAAATGATTTATAAATTACATGGAGGAAACGATGAAACGATAAGTGGTTAATATAGGATGTCCCAATAGTCCGGGGGCCGAAGATTACGCATTTCCCGTGAATTATTGAAAACCATTTTTTGACTCAGTCTTGCAGAACTTAGTTAGGGTTAGAATTTCCATTTTGTTTCAAAGGTATAGGAATTTCGTTTGAAAGGTAGTTGTATTGTTTTTAAAGTAAGGCCTCACAAAGTTAGATTCCTAATTTAAAGGAGGAAAACTGATTACCGACCCAAACGTTTTGGATCAACAGTTTAACATATTTGCATAAAAATGGTTATATTTAAAATTCCCCATTCTGCCATAATCGAAAGTGGGCGCCTGGAATTTCTTGTACGATGTTTTAGTTACTTTCGGTATACAAATTGTAACTTATTTATACAGAGTTTAGTTATCATTGTTGGATGTTACTAAACCAGTTTGTAAAAACAAAACCGTATTTTTAAGTTTTATCGATATGAGAAAAACATTCGCTTCAATAAAAATAGAAGGATTCTGGTGTACAAAAACGTATACGAAACCACAACCAATCAAATTAAGACACGAAACAGAACATCAATAAATTTTAAAACACTGGAAGGAATGAGGCCGGGAGGAGGATTTAATCCAGTATTATTTATCTGTGCACTGGATGATATAATTACTAATTAGTAACGGAATGCAAAAACATAAACGGTTACCTGTCTAACATAAATTTAACTTGAACAAGTTAAAAATTTCACGTTTGGGAAATTGAGCTGTAAAATGATAAATATAACCCTTGTTTCTAGATATTGTCAAAACTCTTGATCAAAGAACTCTTTTATCTCATACAATTTTTTCTTTTTTTCGTAAAGCAATACGTAGTTTTCGAACAGAGCAGCTCCGCTGCCATTAACTGAATTTCCCATATATCATCCCTCTATTTCTCTCATTAATAATAATTTTTCCACTTGAAACTTGCTCGTAGGTTAATTAAATCCTTTGCATTTGACATAGCGTTAGTAAATTGGTATCAAAGTGAATGACATCAAGGCCTAACATCGCCCTGCAGGTTTATCAATTATGTAAATGGAACTGCAGCAATTAACCTTATTAAAACATGAACACCGAATTCGGCTGTAAATTCAGACTGAGATTTACAAGATTCCGTTCAAGTTGAGCGGAATCACATTTCTTTCGGTGATTAGTGATTCCTCTTGTGTATCAGATTCGCACGTCTTTGTAACTTCCTTAAGTCGATAAGCTTTGATCAGCTGTTATTCCTCGTCTCATTGTCTGAAGAAGAATTAAACTTTCTACAGATAACTAACCCTTGATTCGAATTTACGCGGCATCCATAATAAGTGCTTCCTTAGTCGGATACCTACTTTTTGATGAATTCAGCGCTGTTTATTCAGGGAGTGTTTACATTTAATATTTAGAAGATTTAATAAAAATCGTGTTAAGAATGAAGATAAAATTTAACAAGCGGGTTAAGCAATATTAGGGTAACCTGCACATGATTTTTATCCTGAATTCTGATGCTTCAAATATTAAATATTTGCTTTATATTTGAAGCAACAAGAAATGTAGATTCCTAAATTTTTTCATGCGGTTGCTATTGACAATGAAAGTTGCAAATATCACTTACATTTTTAAGAAAATAATAATAATAAATTTCTAAAAGCTCATAATTATTTTTATTCAAATTATTTAAATATAAAGTACTACTAGCAGATAATGACTTTATTACAGCTGTGGCGGCACAATAGCACGTTGGTAAGCGGAGAAAATTAAGCTTCTTCGTAGTCTAGTGGTAAGGGCCCCCGCCTGGCAAGCGGTAAACGTTTGGTTCGATTCCCACCAGAGAAGCAACATTTTTCTTCGCTTACCTTCACAGCTACGAGTATAGAACTCAAACTATTCAGACTAAGTTGTTGTCTTGGCATTGAACAAAATGTTTAGTCGTAAATTATTAATGTTAAGGTTGAAACAACATGCATTTGCAGAAAGAACGGTTAAACGGGTTTCATATTTTTTTTCTTACAGAAGGAGAGCACGTAGACATTGTTACAAATTTAACATTTAGACTGCTTCTAGCTACAGATTAAACAATGACCGGAAGTTATAATAAAAAGTTGTAAATTTGGCCTCAGCAATTCATTAGGTATTTATTAAAAAAGAAGCATTTACTATGCTTTCTTTAACAGCGTTTTGTATATTGGACTTCTACCTGCATATTTCCCCATCGTCGCCTTTATATTTAATGAAGTTTCCAGTACACTTCACGGATATTCTGCACCTTATTTCCACCCAGTTTCTGACATCTTAAACGTTGCACACTCCATATTGCCGCGACAGATTTTATTTTCTCGAATATTGCACGAATTTAATTACGTCTTTCTGGTGAAACGTTTCATGTTGTGTAGAGTGTGTTTTATTTCCGACCGAGTTGTGCAAAATCGAGGATTTTCTCGCCCACTCTGGAACGCGTCTTAAGTGTGACAAATCGGGAACAAAAATAAAAGATTTTTTTGACGAATAACGATGAATATTAAAATAGAGTAGAAGAATTTCGTATCCTTTCATATTTTCCTTAATCAAGAGATAAAGCTGCAACGTGGCCTGTAGGAAAATTCGAAGAATAAACTTTGCAAATGGGCAGGCATTTGTCAGGATTTAAATCGTATAATTTAGCTTTGGAATTTATGACGCGGCTAACATTTTCTGTGATAAAATCAACTCGACGTAAATTATAGTATGCAGAAATAACTGATAAAAGGGCTTTCATCGTAAATATTTCTTAACAGAGTGTTTTTAGCACACAGAGTAATAAATTTGCTCGTTGGATGATCAGTTTGTAAACGTTATTACGCTTTTATCTTTTGTGGATTTACTCTCTAGTTGCATTTTCAACGAAAGGAGGTCCGACAGACATGCACTTAGTTTTTAGTTCTTACCTTCAAAGTCAACTTTTCTTAGATATTTTAAAAGCTCTGTCCCCTTAGTTGGTTTCATTGCTTCACAAAGTCCTGGTTTTCCATGGCACAGATCTCGGTGCATGTCCCTAAAAGAACATCGGAAATGTAGTTAAATGTAAAGCAACAGCAGCTTTTATTATATACAACTCGTAATCTTGCTTCCTTATTAAATTATACTGTAAAATCGTTTCTAGAGAAATTTACTGCTTTGGATTTTTTACATTTGTAATAAAGAATGTAGCTGTTGGCGTTTGAAATATTTACTAGCACTTCAATTTATCTCAAAATTATCCATGACAACATCAAATTTTAATTCAGAAGAAAATGAAAGTTTATGAAAGTTTTTTCTTTGTAAAGTGTCTGTTAAAATTAATAAAAAACTGAAATTTACTTTCGTGTTTTGCGCTGCGAAAGATAAATTATAGACAAGAAAGCAAGATTACTTTTACATTTATTGTGACATTAATTACATCTTTTGGTGTCTGTGTTTTCTCATGTAGTAACAATTGCTACCAAACTGTATTAGGTTCACCCAGGTCACCGATAAGTGCGACGTCTCTAACAGCTTGAATAAAATCTGGTTTTTTAACTTTTTTACTTTTCTTGTAATTTTTATTTATTTACAAGGAATGAATAAAAGTGAGTCGCCTACGTCTTAATATCATTCCTGCTGTCATAAATTATGCAGTTTTAAATTAGTCATGACAGTAATTACATTTTTCATAGATTCATTAATTAAATTTCAGCTGAAGCGGTGAACTTCCTCATCGCATTGACCTAATTAGATAAATATTATTAGAAAACCGTCAGTAATTAATTTGCATCTATTTGAAGATAATTAGTACTCAATACTGATACACTAAACGGACTTCCAATAATAAACGGGCGGTATGACAACAGCGACATGTTATTGAGTGAAGCACAAGCTTATAATTAGCAGCAGTTATAGTCACCGAACACACAAAATTTATTTACATTATTACACAACCTTCAGTATAGTAACGGAATATAAATAAAGAAATATTATTCAATCATTTTTGATTTTTTGTGACGAATATTTGAACCGATTTACAAAACTAAAAGAATTCGGTGAGAATCCGATCGAGTCAGAAAGAAACGGTCCGCCAACAACAAGGATTTTATCCTCTCGTTAAATTCGGGGATTTAATGGAGCTTTGCCTCATAAACAAAGAGATACAAAGTGAAGTGCGTAAACAGAGAAATAACAAAGCACGCACATTCAAATAGAACAGGGGCAAGTTGGAACAAGACTTTACCATTAGTCCTATTTTTCCTGAAAAACTTACCGAATAGCGTAAGCGAAGGCCATCACGGCATCGGAGACAAACTGCAACTGATCTTCGAAAACTGTGTTCTGACGGGTTAATTTTTCCTTTCCTGTACACAGTTTTCTGTGTTTTTGGTTGTATGGCGTTTTTGAGCTGTTGGGGTAGCGGCATTGGAAATGGTGTTCCCAGAATTCTGAAACAAAATAAATAGTGATTATATGAATATAATTTTTAAGAGTGCTAAAACAGCTTTATATGATTAAGTTTAGTTTTTCTCATAAATTTGACGTTTCTAGTACTTTTGTTAGTGCATTGTACCTTAAGTTGTTTGGCATTGGTGCTTATAAGGATCCCTATGAAATATGAGAGAAGTTTTATCATCCCCTTGGAAGAATTTTCGTTAGCGTCTCACTTAAAATTTTATCTTTATGTATATTGTGTTTCTGTATGTTGAAATGTGTAATTGTGTAGATCCTGTATTCTTATTATTGTTACGAAATAAACCCATACACCGCTCCGGTACGACGCCTATGGATTTTAGTATGTACGGCGACGATGACTCATTGTGGATGACGCGGCCTGGAAGCGATCGGCGCACATCTAGAAGGAAGTATGGATTTAAATGCAGCCCACCTTCGGGAACAATTATTATTCAGTCAATTCAGACCACGAGAGTACAGTCAAGTAGCGCTGGAATTATTTTGTACATAATCGCTGTGTAATCAGTCGTGTAAATTCGAGTAATTAAGAAGTAAATTGTTGAGTTTTACCAACACAAATTTTTAAATACCCGTTCAACGTAACATTATATATATTAGTAAGTGTCTAATACAAGGTTTTTAATTTAATTCCCCATAATAAAGAGAAATATGGGTTTACTCTGTGTCTTATCTGTTAAAATTTAAACGGTGTTAAGACAAATTAAACTTTGCAATTTTACCGGTTCTTAAAATTTACCTGTTATACATATGAAAACAGCGCACTTTTAGTATAAAATTACGTGTGTCTAGTGAGTTGTGACGTAGTGACAGAAAATTTGTGTCAAAATGATTAAATCGAACACCAAATACTGGCTAATAAGAGGACAGAATTTAGTACGGTTACCATAGTAATAAAAAATTTTCCTAGCAATGTTATTCCCAAGCGAAATTAATAAGTGCAAAATTTTTCAGCCAATTAAAATCAAAAGCTGCATTTTTTCATTATGCATCATAAGTACAGAAATATTATTAAAATGAAATACCCAATTATTATAACTAATAATTTATTGGAGATTGCTAAGAATACTGTTAGGTACACATCATAATGCAATAATTTGAATGAAACTGTCTAAATGGAGATATTGTAACTGTGTTCTGTGTCGTATACGATTTTCTTACTGAATTGATTCTCTGGAACTTTTTCTCATGCATTCCAATAATGTAAGTAGGCCCCCATGGAGTGGAAGGGCTAGTTAATACATTATTGGAACGCATTCGAAAAAAATTCCGAAAACAATCATTCCACACGGGAAATTATAAGTGAAAATGTCGCGTTCAGCTAGAACTACGAAAAACAAAAAGAGTTTGTAATTAACTTTTTAAGTGAAAATAAATTGTTACTAGGAGCGAAATGAATCCTCTTCATTTATCGACGGCAAAAAAATTGTAGGAGGAATTGACAAGAGCGGTAAATGAGACTGGCCCCACAAAAACTATCAAACAGGGTAAAGAGGTTTTCATAAATGATTCTAAGAGTGTAGTTGGCCATGGATTTCAAAAATCCCGCTTCGCTGAAATCATGCCTCATTATGACAGTTCTCACTTGTCATTAATGTAGTTTGTAACTTGTCATTTAAAGTCATCGTTTTTATTGTTTTAACGTATGAACTGTGAATTACACTAATTCAAGTTGATCCAAGCTCAAAACAGGAAAGTAGTCGTTTTCAAAACTTTTTCGTACGAAGATTTTGTTTTTGTGCTAGGAAGCGAAGTCTGAAAATGGTTTATATTTATAAGACATTTTCATTCTTATGTCTTATTATCACAATAGAAGAGTGAGGGTATTCTGTAACCACTTGTAAGCAAGAAACATCGTTAGAGCCTCACATTAGAGTGTAATCAACAGATTTGTTCGAACTGGGAAGTGTCAACAAAAGGAAGTCTCTTGGAAGACCTTCAGTATTTGAGGAAGTTGTTGATGAATTGAGACGACTTGAACACGAATCTTTGACAAGAGTTCCTCAGCTGTGAGGAGTTACTGTTGCAACATGAAATTGAACAATGGGTATTGACGAAAGAACATTTTTGAAATGAAAAAGAGAATGAACAATTGCTTTGAACCAAGTGGTGAACATTTTCAGCATTTACTGTGATGTTTAACCGCAATAAATTTGTTTCTTTTTATTGTAATGAATGAGTTTTATTTTTTAATAAGGTATGAATCATTTAGGTAACCAGTTATGCAGTTGAGTGTGGTCTTTGTAATGCGTCCTTGGGCATTTAGTAAAGTTTAAAACTGAGAGGCGGCACGTTTTCATGACCTACTTTGACCCTATAATGATTTATAGAAACCCTGTATGTTTTTAATATAAAACAATTTGAACGCCATTTACTATCTTAGAGCATCAGTGAAATGAAAACTAATATTCGGGGACGAGCTAAGGATGTCCGATACGACACAACTTTCACGGGTGGTGGTACAGAAGTAAAACCTTTGTTGGATTTAGAGCAGCGGCTTCTTTGACTTTTATTGCATTTAACTGTAGAAGGAGATGACCTGCTGGAGGCTAGAGCGATTGTTATCCAAAATCAATTCAATAGCGGCAAAAATTGAAGTGTTCCACTAAAATTTTAACATACATGTACGATACCGAATAGCAAAACTAATTTATAGGGTTGCGAATTTTTAACGAGTTTTAAATTTCAGCAGATAGTTAATTTGCAGAAGAGACCCCATGGTAGGCTATTTTACGAAAAAATATTTTATATAGAGCTTGGCATTAATCCGGGGATTTAACCAGTCTTACGTTTGTTTCAAAGGGCGGTCTGACTTGACTACATTGTCACGCTTGCAACAAAGCTTGAGTTCAAGTCAACACACCCTTAAGGCCAGTCGGTACGGTTTCTGAGTGGAATTTTCGGTCTATTTTCAAACTGCAATATCTCCGTTTTTAAGAGATCTATGGTTTTGAAATTTTAAATATGTGTTGTCCATAAGTTTTTTTTATATAAAACAAGGCCAATTTTGTTAAAAACAGTTTGTGATCATTTTTTCTTCTAATTTCAGTGAAATTTTTGCGTAATATATTTTTAAAATTCAACATCTCAATTATTAAAGGAAATTTCAGAACACGGTTTTGAACACTGTTTTCAGCTTAGAAAATTCCAGAAATCAATCACACCAGATATATCGTCGATTTTGTTTTGTTAGAAACGATACACAGTAAAAAAAAACTTCTGTCATAGAAGTTGCTAATTTTTTATTTTTACTCAGTTCTAACAAATAAAGTCAAAAATAGACCTAGTACGATTTCTAAAGTTTTGCAAGCTGAAAACAGTGGTGACTACCCCGTTCCAAAATTTCCATAAATAATTGAAATATTGATTGTTTAAAATACATGATGCAAAAATTTCAACAAAATTTAAAAAACAATTGACAATAAATTGTTTAAAAAAAACTGCCCCCGCAGTGATGTAGTGAAAGTTACATTTAAAATTTCATAACCATAGGTGTGTTACTAATGGAGACATTACATTCTGAAAACGTAGCGGCTCCTCTTAATCCTTAGGCCGGCGCCGGCGGATAGTTGGTATCTGGACTGTACGGCAATTTACAATCTTTCAAAAAAAGTTTAGTACTAGCAAAATTGAAGTTAGCGAGGCGGAATTCAGCGAACTGGAAAGTGAAACCAGAGATCTCTATAGGAAAACACTATAGAGAACCAAATTAGTAAAATAGATAGACCAAATCAGTGGCGTAACTACCGGTGTTCCATGTGTTCGCTGGAACACGGGCCCGCTGCTTTAAGGGGCCCGGTCCGGTCACACAAACATTTTTTTTATTAGATTTTTTTATATTATTGCCCAAACTACATCCCGAAATAAAAAATTCGAAAATGTACGGTAATCCCAGGATCGATCGTTCATTGGTATTTACGAATTTTTTGTTGCAAAGGGCTGGACTTTTGGCGGCATCTTAATATCATAGACTCAATAAACTCATGTTTTAGCGACCGACACCGGCGGTCGAAAATGCAGCAGCATCTGTTTCTAATAAATCTGTCGCAGTGTCGCAATCCCATTGTGGCAAATCTAAGACCTCCTGTAGTAAATTATCAATCTTTATCCGACAAAAGTATGATTAATTTATGATGCAAGACAAGAAAATACTTAAATTTTGTCCTCAGATCTACAGTGAAAATGCATAATAAGACGTGAAAAAAAATTCTGTTTCAGTTGTGTTTTATAAAAACTTTCGTATTTTCAAAACTATTTTAATTTTGTACTTGTGGTGCTTTTTTGGAATAATAAAAAATATGTCTGATGTATGTTACAACTAATTTTTTAAGTCGAAAAAAAATTGGACTGGGAAATTATTACAGAATGACGTACCTGCACTAGTTTCACTGAAATTATCACAGCATGTTTCACTTTTCTTACAATACCTCTTTCGGTGGCTTCAGCGGAAAGATCTTTTTCGAAATTACAAATGACTAAAAATTTTTTAAGAAACACAATGGGCCAATGCAGATTATCTTCACTGAATCTCTCAATTGGAAATCAAATTGCCAGAAGCTTAGATGTGTCAAATTTTGTATCAACTTGTGCCCATTGGAAAGCAAGAAGAAAACAATTTTAAGATTAAAAAAATGGGCATTTTTATCTATGCTTCTATACTTCTATACTTACTTATATTATAAAGCTGAAGAATTTGTTTGGTTGAACGCGCTAATCTCAGAAACTACTGGTTCAAATTCAAAAAAGTCTGTTTGTGTTGGCTAGTCCATTTATCGAGGAAGGTTATAGGATAATAACATCACGCTATGATCAATAGGAGCGGAGTAGCAATGACAAATATCGGAAAAACGGAAAAATTATTCCTCCTTTGATAGCTTACGTTGCTTACACTACTTAAACGGTTAAAGTTACATAAAAATCATGTATGATGGAATTGTTCCCTTCTAAAAGTTCTAAGAAAAAGTCCGCGACAGCA